CCCCTCTCTTTCTCTTCACTGTTCCCCCCTCTTGTGTCTTATTCCCCCTCTCAGGAAACAAAAAAGGGGTTTCTAACCTAAGTCCGTCTTTTTTCCACATCGTCCTTGATCAGTTTCTGCTTGGCTGATCGCTTTGTTTCCTATCAAGAGCTCTGCAATGGTCTGTGTCAAGGGTGAAAAGAAAAGAAAAGGGGGGAAGGATTGACCCCAGAGAGAGAAGGCTTTCCCATCTCGTACTCGACAGACAATGGACGGACAGATAGGTCCGCCCCTGAGGAAGAAGGAGAAAAGGAAGAAGCCAGTTCTTGTTGGAAGAGAAGATACGTGCATGTCCACACGCGGTGTCATCCACGATGATGAGAGGACATTCCTTCATGTCAATGACACTTCCCGTCCCGTCCCTTCCTTTTCTTGTGTATATGTCCACATTCACTCACTCTCTGACCTTTCGGGAAGGAAGACTAAGGAAGAATAGAAGGAAGGGTTCAGGAGGAGATAAATAGGAGTCATTCCATTTCTGCCCCCCTCAAGGGTATTGAAACGAGCAAGCCTTTGGGTTTGGAAACCGAAGAAACCGTCCGCGGTTTCTTCACTAATGGGTTCCTCTAATGACACATCCTTTTCCCCTCAGTCAATTCGACAGGAAGTCCTTGGAGACCCCTCTTTGGCTTTTCTTTTCTACCTCGGTACCTTGCAGATGAATCTGTGACGTTCCAAGTTTCATGGGCTTCCACGAATGCCGGCAATGTAGCCGGGTGCGAATGAACCGGTTCGTGCAAGAATGTGCGCTTGTTTTGTCCAGACTTCTTCCCTCCAGATGAGACTCCCAGTAATGAGATCAGATTCCCCCTGGAAATGATCATTTGCATGGAGTGTAGGTGCATTTTCCTCGATCCCCCTCTATTAGCATAAGCCTCGGAATCCCATTGTCTCCATTATCATCTACCCCACGACCGATTCCTTTGTCCCCGTTTTCTCCAACACGGGGTTGCGCAATGGAACTTGTATGGACTTGGGAAATCAGACTTGACTCTCAAGGCATGAAGCCTGTATAATATAAAAGCCGAAACCTTTGCCTGATAAAGAGAGTAAGAATTGCGTGGGGTCACGCCTCAAAAATCGCGAAAATAAGACTCCAGGACATTTTGAGTCGCCAGCGAATGCACACATGATCTGTAGGTATAGTCACTCATTATTTTTAACTGTGGCGAAGGCACCTTTGCACGCGGCATTCGAAGCCAGTCTGTCGCATCCTCCAGAAGCTATTCCTACTCTGACGTCATTTTTTCCTCACGCGCTTCGCAAGTTACGCATATGCAGTCAAAAAAAGGCAACCTATCTTCAAACCTTCGAAATAAAAACTTTACTAGAGGTCAGAGGCCTATGCATTTTATAGAACAATCTCAATCCGTATTCATGAGTATGTTAATATAAAAAAAAACAACATTCCGAAACAACATCGAAGAGATTATCTTTGGCACGAGGAAAAGTTCGTCTGAAAAAAGTGAATATTTTCATAGTTATCCACCTCTTGTAATGTATTTCTGAATTGATTTTTCCCTCTTGAGAATACGTTGATTTCACGATTTTCCAGAGCCAGTCAGCTTCTGGATTTCCATGTTATTAACTACTTGACCTAAATACTGAAACCACCTTAGGGTAACGGTCCTTAACACTTGACCGCCACGGCTATATTGGCCTGATGACTTTCCTGGGCCAACGTCATTTTTATACCCCTAGGAGGTGAAGCACGGGGCGCACCAGTGCGCCTCATGGCGGTCATTGTACTAAAGAATCACGGACTTCTATGGGATTGGGGGGGGGGGGGATACAGCTCTTAAAGGCCACTTCATCTTTCAAAATGAGGTTTATGCATTCGGAAGTAAGCGTGGATTTTTGAACAGAACATTATCCGTATGCATTATAAATCCGGTAAATAAAGCAGCATTATCGGATAGTGCTCTGTTCAAAAATCCACCCTTACCCTTTATCGCTGATATGCGAAGGGGTTGATGATTTTGAGATAGTGTAAGGGTAAATGATGGCTCTTGTGATTGTTTTCTCAAAATGATGTATATGAATTTGTGATCTAGTGTCATTGCAAACTCATCCCACCATCAACATCTTTTGAGGAAAAAGTGAGGTTCGAGTAATGACACGTTCCCAGTAGCAAAGAGTGGTCATATCCGAACGATGTCCACTCCATAATTTAACGTAACATTGAGGCGTATTATTAAGTTCCAAAATTGCCAACGAGGACGATAGATGGTTAGCTAGCTAGCCGTCGCCGAGTCTACTGCAAAGCCTCCCGGATCATTGGTCCCATTTGTCCACTGGGCACAACTTTTCTTCCTGTCACGTGCCCGCTTGAACATCTTTCTTCTTTCTCCAGTCGTTGCGGAAGCGCGAAAGGGGCAGAGTAATACCGTCAGCTGGCGATCGTTAACTGATCGTGTGATAAGAGTAGAAACTTGGTTTTTAGACTCGCTTCTCGGCGATGCCGCACTCTGCTTTGTTTTTTAGTGCTTCATGCCAGGTACCGATTACATTGTTTTAAATTAGGGGTGTCGCAGTGGCTATTGCCATCGATTTATTAACACTTAGAGCCCTGGCAATTTGAATGGGCTATGGGCGTTGAACGTCATATGACGACTGTAGAGCTCAAAGTGTTAACCAGAACCATCGATGGTGCATCGGGAGAAGGTTACTGGCGAATTCCGTCATTTTTCATCGCGATCCGGGGAAGCTTGCCTTCCGTTGTTTACCGCCGCTATTGATTAGAGGGGTTGCTGAACGAGGAGGACGGTCAGGACCATCGCGATCAAGACATCAATTGTGACATCGATGAATTGATGCATCGTGAAAGCCCCTTTAAAAATATTTAGCGAATCTACTTCAGATGATCAATGTATTCAGTCTTTGGATCCTAAGCCTTGTTTCCATGATTTTTGGGGCATGATCCCATACGATTTTACTGTTTTATAAGTAACTATACTGCCCTCAAAAAGACTTGTGGCGCTTCTTCATGATCCAAGTTCTCAGTACCCGGATGATGTCTGTAACTGGGAAACTGTAAATAACCTCGGATGTTGTCATCTCTTACCTGCTTAAAGCTCCCACTGACGCCTTGATTTGGTGCCATCTTTTCTCAAAAATTAGCTTCAGAATCCGTTTGTTTTGGTTTTCAATTCTAGTCCATCCTCATGTTGGCTAGCTTAGCTTTCGTTTTGCAAGCCATACACATAGTATGCTTTTTTTTTTATATGCATCCTCATAGAGAGGAGCCCGTCACTGGGCATTCTCAGAGACTGAAGTTCATCCACCAGAATGCTTCTATCGTTTCATATGCAAAGTTAAAATACCTTTATTTTGAAAGTAGTGAAGTTTTAGGTCTGAACTTGAATTCAACAACGACTGCTTGCACAGCCATCGTTAGGTTAAAAAATGGTGTGGCCCGTGAATTGTTTCGGGGGTACACAAGGTATACAAGAAGTGTATACCTTGGGGGTATACAAGAAGTGAGTCAGACTTAGTAAAAATGTGTGCAGGGACGAAGTGATGTTTCTGTTATAGTTTCAAGCGGAGAAACCAAACCATATGGCTTCTGAGGCAAAATCTGGAGAAACGATGACATGCTTCATGGCGTTAGCGGTGGATTTGTGCATATAAGAGATCTTTTGATATAAGAAACGTTCTTATTGGTGCTGTAGATGCTGGGTACATCACAAGTGTTGCAGATCTTTTGGAAGGTGGTATCTTTGACTTTCTAGTATATTAGTTCCGTCTCACCCCCCCCTCCCCTCCCCCCTCACTCCAAAAAAACATGCTATCTTTGTATGCACATACTTCGGATCGCGTCAGTACTCAATAGAAAGTTATTTTTTATTTTCTTAATTACTTGTTTGTATATATTTTTTATTATATGCGACGAGTTGAGTTCTGTGTCTGAGACTCCATAAGACACATTGGCTAGATGGTACTAATTTAGCAATACTTTGGTTATCCAAATCACTTCACTATTATTTGCTGCTGTGAGAAAATTTTACTTTACAAAGCTCTAAGTACTAACCCTCCATATAAACGCGCAGTCGTTCCGAGGCTAGTCCATCAATATCTCTAGTCGGAATCCATAGGTTTTTATTATTATTTTTATTTATATATATATTTTTATGAGTGGCCAGGGTGTATTCCGAATAATAAATACTTTTCAGGCTTATATTTATAGTCGGCCACTAGCGTGGCTTTGGCTTGAAGGAATAAAGAAGTGGAGCTTCTTCCTTCCCTTCCTTCCTACCATCCATTCATCCATCCATCCATCCATCCTTCCATCCTTCCTGCCCCTCCCTCATGCTACGTATATCCAATCAGAGGGGATATATCCCAATGGGGGGAAAAGAGGGAGAGCTCAAAGACACTGTGTGTGTGTGTGCGAGTGTATGTATGTCTCTATCTTTAATCCCATGTTGTATTTCTTTTTCCCTCGCGCTCTCTCTCATCCTCGTCTGTCATCACAATCTGCCGTCACACGGGGAGAGGGAGTAAGAGAGAGAGAAAACACCCCGATGCGATGTCGATTGCCTTTGGCGGCATGATCATGATTACCTCGTCAGCGCTTAAATGCATTTATCTCCCACTCTACTTTATTCACTTTATTTAAGTAGAAATATTGGTGTTGATATACACAGCCTTGAAAATCGGACTCGCCTGAGATTTCCTGTCTTGCTACCTGCATGTCAACCAGTCTTTAATTTCTGGAGGAGGGATCATGAAATGATGCAGGGTAAAATAAAAAAAAAGGATACGATGGGGAGTCCATCTGCCCAGCCTTATAACTGATGCCAAAAAGATGCGGTGCAGAAATGGCAATAGTTTACTTAGTCGGTTGTCTCACTTCCAGATGCTGTTAATATTTGTTTAGATCAGCAATATCCATGACGCAATTGACGCAGTGCTTGTGATCGTGATGAATTTTTTTCTTTTTCTTGCTTGGTGTGGTCTAGGCGGCGGCTGCTGGGAAGTTCCCAAGTCCGTTGGGGTTCTTCGGCTACCCGCCTCCACCCCCACCTCCACCTCCACCGGTTCCGGTTCCGGTGAGTGTGTCTCTCCCGGTCCCGGTGTCCTCCACTTCCTCTGCGGATGCACAGCCTCCGCCCGCTCACATGGGCATCCCACCTTATCCCCAATACGACCACCACAAGATCCCGCCTTGCCCCTTTCGTGAGTTTTCTTCATTTTTTTTGTTTTGTTCCTTCTTCCTTTGAGTTTTGCGAATTAATTCCCGTGTGCAAGCTGGGAGGGGATAAGGGTTGGGGAGGCTGCTGAAACGACCGAGAAATTCTTGTTCTTGTAGAAGTTTTAGTCTATCTGAACAATATGGAATATGAGCCGGTTTGCTTCGCAGCTCTGGTATGCCTATGTGTTGTGGCTGTTTCAAGAACGAAAAGTAAAAAACCGAATTAGACAAATAAAACACCATAAATATTTTTTTTTTTTTATCATCCCAGCAATTGGCAATGAGGACTGAAAATGCATTTATACTGCTTTAAAGCAGCGGTACTCAAAAGCCGGGGGCCTCATACGGACGTGACCAAACTTGCGCGGGCCACACTTGAAAAAAAAAGTCTACTAGTACGAATTAAAAAAAAAATCCAATCAGGGTTATAGTGTCCATTGTGGGTTTAGTTTCCCTGCAAAGTAGATTTAGTCTTCGCGGGCCGCAGTTTGAGTACCGCTGCTTAAAAGTAGCGTCGCAAAAGTCATGCTTCCTTCTCTATTATATGGCAGAAAGAAGCTACTGGACCTGTCCCCCCCTCTCTGTAAAAGGGTACGTAGTTAGTGGACTTGTAGGAAAATGTACAGTGTGATCCAGGTCTCCTTCCTCAACTATTAGTATTGGCTTATTGATTTTCTTGTAAATGGCGAATAATGCGCATTTTGAAGGTAAAAAAGAAAAACAAGCAGTGATCACAGTTTGCGTGTGAGACGTAAGTTGGATCCACTGATCGCAGATCTTTCGCCAGTAAGGATAGGCTAGGATTCGCTCTGGAGTACAGGTGCTAAAAAAAAAGAGTTGGAAGAGTGAACAGTACTATACTGATCCTGGTTCTCGACCAGCGATTTAGCCACAGACTCCTCTTAATTGTCCTTCTGGTTGTAAAATACATATATATACGGGATGGCTTAAAGGAACTCAGGAGTTCAACTTGAGTTCAAGACACTGGATTGAACGATGGGAGAATACGATCACGACTTCGTTGAATTGAAAAAATTAGATTTTCAAACAAGTGCACGTCGTTTCCTTGATCATTTCGCAGTTATTTTTCGATGTTCTCACTCACCATTCACAAGGGCGGTGTTGACAAAACCGTGAGAGTCCACTCCAGCAGAGACACAACTGAGTAATCTGTGAACTAATGAAGTACCAGGTAATATTGATCTTGTCTGTAACCAATAGTCGTATTTGAACAGCAGTGTCTACTAGTAGTAAACATCACGTAGATATTTAATAAATAATGGTAATCAAATATTTGATATAGGTACTATTGCGTATATATTCGTATATTGGTCACAATATTTGTATTGATCTATCTTCATGAATATTCAGTATTTTTTATGTGCGTGAACTCACTGTTCGAGCTGGCATGAAACCCTAGCTCGTTCAGATTCAGAGGACGAGAGAATTGATGGGGTATAGGGGCGGAGCCATTAAATGAGAAAGGATAATACATTTTTGGCCATGATCGGCCGAGGGAGTTGGCGCCACATTCCTTACTTTGAATTCTATATTTGTTTTAGATCGCGAATGCAAGTTAAAGAGGCTAGAACGGTCCCACGTTGGCATAGCCAACTTTGGCGTAGAACTGCATCTAGAAATCCTGAGTAAGGCAAACAAAGAGATAAAGAATCCGTAAAAGTTACGCCTCAAAAGTAAGGAAACGAGAGTTTCTAAAATTGGCGTATGAATCGCTCAAGATGAAATATTTGGGAAGGAAACAATTCTAAAATTGTAAATATTAATTGCATCAGAGGCATAACCTGAATTGCGGTATAAAAATATTAGAGGCTTCCATGTGAAGTGAATACTCATTGAAGGTCCAACACATAAATATTTCGTTTGCTGGTCAATGTATTCCAATTTCTCTTATGGTAACTTTCAGAAAGGTGTGCTAAATGAACGAATAGAATATGATGAATATCAGCATATTCTTTTCTTTCATTATGCATGCTAGTGGGGATTGGAATATATTCCAAGCGAATATCCTCGCAATATTTATTTGTTACCAAACTCGGAAAAGGGATTGATCTAAACCCCGCCGAATCTATGGGGGCTTATGTAGCTTGAATTCTGCTACTTTGTGAAGCCTTCAGTTTACTTCACACCCAGCGTTGTGGGCCTGTTCAATCCTGATGAAGGATTGGATGGGACGCTATTTCCCATTCGTCTTTAAAATCTTCCCGTATTGAAGGTATTGAACCTGGAATATCTCACCATTTTCGCTCTCGGAAAAGGAATGTATGGGGCCATGTAGTCACGTGTGAGGCTGGAGAACTTGCAACAGTTAGCACAATCATCGTATCATCAATTAACGATCATTCAGGATTGATCACTACCTCCTTCTTGCTCGTTTCATCACGTGTGGTGATGAGTGTGAACAGTCACGTGTTGATTATATCTTGTGCCAAGGTCGCGCGCTTTTCATCCCAAGATGGAGAGACTTGGCTTCATGAACTTGTGCTTTCTCAAATACCTATTGCAGTAACTTCGATTGTAAAAAATTACTGTTGCAGAGGATTAACAATCGGCGGCGAAGGCATGCAATAAGAATGGCCTTCATCAAAAGCAGGCTTTAGTAAAAGGAAAAACACAAAAATGAGAACGAGGGTAGTACTTGTACGATGTTCCAGATTGTTTCTATGCGAACTTCTTCCCTGATGGTTGGCCGTGGTGTTTCCTTGGTGATCTCGCAAGCAATTTTGATGACCATGAAGTTGCTTACACACCATCGTAATCGTGTTTATTATTATGCAACAGGAAATTAAGACATTATCTCTGCTTTTTTATGCTGTACTTTGCCGCTAAGTTAATGCAACATTCTGCGCGCAACTGCGACTGTGAAAAAATATATTTTGCAAGAGTTATTTGTTGTATTTCCGTGAGTGATCCTATTTATCTTCCATGTTGCATGAACACGTTTTAATTAGGACTAATATAACGATCGAGTGAAAAAGGGTGACCTTTCTGGCGAACCCTGTAGAATTCGCGAAGATGGTTTGGGACCTCGAGTTCGACAGCTAGAATCGAACAATCTAGTTCTTCATTGGAATCGATACATTTTGAAATTAGCGAACAATGCTCGACAAGACATTTAAACATTTGAAAGTTCCCCATTACATCTTGGAATGGCCTTTGTGTATGTGTAGGTTTTCCGGATGATATTCAGCAAAAGCCGCCTACCTCACTGATTTGACTGCGATCTTTTCATCTACTATTGGGGAATCTCATGTGGTGACTGTTTAAATCCAGAGAAAGTACAAAAAAAAGCCATTGTTCTCGTGTCATGCGTACATGTCATGGGAATGTTGCCTTTTTTTTACGCCACAAGACGTCGTATATAGATCATATGCATTGTAAATGAGATTGAACACAAACACACATTCTGTCAAGATTGGGTCTGTAAGGATGTAATGAGTCCAGCCGTCTGTACAATCTTTTTTTGTCATGGAATCAGATATGTTTGTGCATATCTGATTCCATGACAAAAAGCTGTGTGGTCGAAGCCACGCCCAATATATCTATAGTGTTGTATACGAGAGCGATGCATATTTTTATCTCAGTCTGCCAGACTTTCTGCAAATTGTTTCAGTTATAGTTGCCAAAGTTCTTGAATATCATGAAGATGAAGCTCATGTGGGACAGCAACTTTCAGAGGCGGACTTGTTCTGTAGGGTTTACCATCTTGGTCATCACCTTCACTGTCATCACATCACCATTTCTTGGTCCAATTTCCTTTGAGTTCGATAGCCTTTCCGGTTGAATGCGGTCATTCTGGAACATCGTGCCAAATCAAATTGAAACACGCTTGCACAAATCGGCTGCACTTTTTCAAGCTTCACCCGCGTATTTTTTTTCTCCAAAGCTGAGCGCCCGTGCATAGATTCTTAGTTGATAGACTAGAAATAGAAAATGTATGCCATTGTATCGTCTGTAGTTTGTCATCAGGTCCGTATCGCCAAGTTGATCGTGGCCGATACCGATTCGAAATCTGGTGCCATAGACAGCGACGAATTCAGTTGAACAGAAAGTAAGTAACCAACTTACTACGGTTGCCATCATTGGGATGCAGTCACGAGAACAGGGAAGCTGAAATCGCTCTTGAAATACTCCCTGGCTACATCTCTACAGCCTGTACTTGGGAATATTTTGCGAATACTTTATTTGAACAGTCTGATGTGTATGCCCATCAATACGTTCGGGATTCAGGGTAATTTCCAACTGCATTTTTCGTCGTATGAGGGTGTTTACTTAAATGGAGAAGTGGATACGATATCGAGTGGATCCTCACATGGCAGTCACGTTTCCAAAGGAATGGTTGGACGAGCCCCTCCTCGCCTTGGACGCCTTCCCCGCACGATTTTTTAACTGCTGGTGATGTCATCCGTTCCACATTCCTTCCCGCCCTCTAACGACTTACGAAAGGATGGTCGAAACACCCTTTTTTTTATCGCAATCCCACGAGAAAGAATGAATTTGTAGAAGGAGCTTTATATAATATATTTCAATTCTTAAATGAAATTTTCATTCCCTCCACATGTCCCCATCTATGCTGCGGCCCTTTTTGAAATAAGAAAGACCAAACAAGGCTCTATTTTTTTTTAAAGTAGTCTTTCGATGCCTCTCTGTCTGTCTGGTCTTGTATATCAGCGCGAAGCTTCTTGTACCCATAATGATAATAGTATTACTTTACATCGTATTCGCGGGAATTCTTAAGGAACGAACAAATTCCTATGCTCACGAGCGAGGTAAACTTTGCATCTCCGCGTTTGGACTTAGTTGGACTATTATTAGTAAGTGCTTAGTAGCATGAAGGTGAAACGCGAGAAGTGGACCGGCGGATCCTCCCACCACGGACACGGTGTTCGTGCATTCTCTTCTCTACTTCCTCTTTCTCCCCCCCCCCCTCTCACTTACGTAGGACTTTCCACACGGGGGGCACGCTGTAATTCATCCCAGCGTTAATGCCTTCTTGGCATATTGGACGAGGGAGTGCATTTGCCCACCGCAGTTATCAAGTGATAATCATGAGGGTGGTGCCCATTTTTTGCGCTTGGATAATAAGTATGACAGCCGGTGCCATACCATATGCCTGTCATACCGCCTTCCACCGCTCTATGACGGCATACCGTACCGCATGACGGGTTTCAGCTATAGTATGCCCCTAGCGTGAAAAGGACTTCGTCTTACATAGTCTACGAAGGTTTTATACACTTATCCTCCACCACCGGACTATGTTCAGCCTCTTTTTTTTGTTTCAATGCTTCTTGTCAAATTTTGGAAAATCTTGGAGCATATGTTTTTTTTTTATTTTCATGCAGGATTTCTTTTTTTTTCTGTCACTCCCCTCTTAGTTTTCCATTGATCACTTTAATTTTCAAGCAGTCAATTGGAAGACGTATGTACGAAATCCTTTCGCCTATACACCTGCTTAGCACATTTTGTGTAAGACGAGTAGTTCATCGATACGATGAAGAGAGGGAGACAAGGACGTTGAACATTGAATGGCGTTCTCTAACGAGACCCCAATTTTGCTGCTTTCAACTTCCTCATTTCGTTACAATCGCTCGTGAAAGAGCCGATCTCTATCTCTGTCTCTGCCCCCTCTATTCAGATCGAGAGAGAGGAGAAACCGCACCTGTTTCCTACCGCCTGATCGGATGAAAAGAGAACTGCAGTTAGAGCGATGAAAGAGAGGGGGAGGGGGAAAGAGATATGATGACCGGGGGTTATTTGATGACAATCTCATGCGCTTGGACACAGCTCTTTCATTTTTCAGTCAGGGTGGGTAAATACAGGGAAGTCTTTGACCGGCGGGGTATCAATCAATTGCCCTGGTTCCTGGGCTCCATCGATGGATGTCTATCTATACTCTGGCTTGGCTCATATTGTTGGATCGATCGCGCTCTTCTCTGACTTTTGCCTCTCTCTCCCTCTCCCCCTTTCTTTTCCACCTGGATAGTCTAGACGGGTACACTCTATCGATGAACGATGATGTCAGTCCCCTTTTCAGAATATCATTCACAATCTTCACTTTATCCAAGCGGAGTTTTTATTTTCTTGCACCGTGTCTACACGAAAGCGGAAGATAGGTTTCACCCTAAGGGATGGATGGACACATAAAGAATCCGTGGACTCTTGAAAAGTTAAGCGATGACAATTTGGAACTGGAAAGGTTTGGTACTCGAATATGGCAAGTGCGAGTTTCATCTGGAAGAGCTCATTGGTTTAACGAAAATACCTTTTTTTTTTAAGGATATAGTGTTCCAAAAATTATATGAAACTATGAGGTTTTGCGACGAAATTCGCCAGACATAGCTCTTGAATCGATTATGGGCAAATGAGTTTCGTTTAAATATGCTGAATGAATGAGGACTGTTGGAACGAGAATAAAAAGAGCGCGTGCAGAGGAGGGTCAAATGGAGTGGCTGGTTCTACGCTCGCCTGCTTCGCGAGTGTTAGTCACCTTTTATTTCTGACAGGATAGAATTCTTCCCGTGGAAGACTAAGTGTGGGAAGAAATCTCACTGCACTGATTTTTTTTTTTTTTTTTGACCCGGGTCCATTCGTAGCCATGCCTTCATACCGAATAAGAGAAGAAAGATAAATAGGAGAAATGCACGAGAGAAGAAAAAGTGTCACGGTTCCCTCTGGGAGATTCTTGTTCCGGGGCATGGATGGAAGATGATAGTCATATTTTGACGTGCATGCCGTCGAGTCACGACTAGAACCTAGATTCCGGTCACAGTTGGCATTCTCTCCTAGCCTGAAATACAATCCACGTAGGGTCACAGGCGATGTTAATACAGTACGCAGTCCGGACGCACACGAATGGGGGAGGAAGGCACATCAGAGCGTTGGCTTGTAATACGGTAAATCTAATCGGATCTCTGTCTCTCTCCCTGTGTGATGATCTTTGGACTGGAAACAGGAGGGAGAGAAAAATATTCTCTTTTTTTTTATCCCCCTTCTATGGGAACGCCCGCCCTGAGAGAGACACGAAATCCAGATTCTAGTTCGAGATAAAAGTCCCATCACATCTGATCGTAACGGTCCTCTTTCCCCCCTCCGCCCCATCTTTACGCTTTCTCAAAAATGAAATGATTTATTCAATTCGGGGTGAAGGGGCATATATATATATACCACATGCATGATGCAACATACATTGAATGTACAGAGAGGCAGTTTAGCAATGTTGCTAACGACGTTGTATGTTGTTTGTGGCAGCAGCAGCAGCAGCGGCAGCGGCAGCAGCAGCGTTTGCAAGGTCGGGGATGTACCCGTTCCCAGGCCCTCAATACCCTCACCCCATGCTAACTCCAGAGTTCGCCTGGTAAGAGATATTGTTGAACATCGTTTGTTTCTTCCTCTAGCATTCAGGGCCCCTTAAGCGAGGCACTGGCCGCGTCTTTTTCTCCAGCCGCTAGCAGCTGCTGGCGAAAAAGACGATGGCTAGGCACGACCACGTCATTGAATGACGTCACTATTAGGCAAACAGCTGCCAGCAGAATATAGCGATTTACGAGAACGCTGAGCAACTAAACCGTAAAATGACGTCATCGGGTGATGAAGATCTCGGCAGAGCTTGCTGAGCCGCTTGAAAAAAAGACACGATCACTAACTCTTGTCTTGCTGTATGTAGGGCGAGCATGTACGGAGGGGGAGGAGGAGGGGGGAATGCCGGGAGGGGATCCCCATATGCTTCCCTCCCACCTTCCTCCATCTCTATCTCTACAGCCACCTCCATATCCACCGCTTCTCGCCCTCCTTCAATCTCCAACGCCAACTCCAAGTCCCCAAGCTTAGACCCCTCCTCACAAGGCTCCCATCGGTTCGTCCTCATCTCGTCCTACCTAAAGAAGAAAATGAATACGCCATTAATTTAACAATTCCATTAATGATGGAATGGGGGGGAAGTCCATCATTAATGTTAACTCGAAAGTTAATGACCTTGCAGGGAAATTCGATTAAAATGCGTAGAAATGGAAACCCACCATCCTCGTGGGATTGACATTGATTATGCACAGTATGTGTCCCACCTATGTACGTAGGGGTAGTGATATTCGTGGCGATGGGAAGGTGAAGGACAGAGATGGGGGACATCATCATCCTCATCAGGGATCATCTCCATCTTCCTCGTCGTCTGATAGGAAGAAGCAGCCTCACGTCAAGAAACCTCTTAATGCCTTCATGCTTTACATGAAGGAAATGCGTGCCAAAGTCGTTGCCGAATGTACCTTGAAGGAAAGTGCTGCCATTAACCAGATCCTCGGGAGAAGGGTGAGAAGATCGGATGGTTCTCCGTTGTTCTTTTGGTGGGGTGATAATGGCAAGCTGATGGTGCCTTTGAATTGCTTTCTAGTGGCACGCGTTGAGTCGAGAAGAGCAGAGCAAGTACTACGAGCTGGCTCGGAAGGAAAGGGAACTGCACATGCAGATGTACCCTGGATGGACCGCCAGGGAGAGCTACGCTGCCAAAATGTACAAGAAGAAAAAGCGCAAAGACAAAGCCAATGACACCCGTACGTCTTTCTTCATCCCACTCTCGTTACCACGTTTTCCTAATGTTGCAACTGCATATTTGACTTCGAATAGGAAAAAGTCACTCATGCTGTTGGAGCATAATTTTTTTTTAGTATTAATCAGCAGTAGATCAACTGACGCACATTCAGTTTGGGGTTGAATACTGTGTTTCAGCGAACAACATGAAGAAGTGTCGAGCTCGATATGGGCTGGACCAGCAGAGTCAGTGGTGCAAACCCTGCAGGTTCGTTTTCATATTTGACCCTCTTCATTATTTCCTTCTGTTCACTTGAACATGCACACACTCTTTTTCACATCATTAAGCCCATTCATCTTCACAACTTACTGGATGATTAGATTCTGTCTGACCCACCTTTGCTTCTTGTATTCTTGGCTTCATTTTCTTCCCTCTAAGAATTTTTTCTCCCATTTTCTGGTTCTCTTTCTCACAAGCTGCTTCTTGCTCACTCACTCACTTACTCTTTCACTGAAAGGCTGAAAGCTCTTTCGCTTGAGTGTTTCTCACTGCATCACACATTCATGCTTCTTGACTCATAGCTAAAAGTTTTTGGACGCTAGAAATTGATGTATATCAGCGGTGAGGCCTCGTTTTACATGCAAAGTTTAAGCGGCTTCTCTTTATATCAACTTCCCATTTTCATGTAGACCAGTATATTTCAACCACCGATCTATGAAACAGCCAGCAAATGGATGAATGAGCAAAGAAAATGAAAGTACGTTTCAGAGTATAAATGTTATAGATTTCCTTGTTCCCCGCCAACATTCGCCTGAAACTGCAGACCAGCTTGTCCGTAACACATCCGGGAAAATTAGAACTGGTCCGCTTTTCCACTCACGTAAACGATCCCGAATAGATCGCGTTCTCAACCGGAAAGGCTTAAATATCCGTCATAGCGCAAGAAAAGCAGCTTTTCTCTACCTTGCAAACGGGTGAAGCTACTTGAAACAGTCGGAGAGCGCATTTAATACGTTTCGTCGTCACATACTGTGTAGTGGGGAAACATGGCGCCGACCCCATCGTGTGTCCTCGTTCTCGAAAGTAGAGAAAATCGAAGCAAAATTCCTTATTAGCCTTAGGTATCATTAGAGAACAGCTGGAGGATGACGAAAAGAAGACCTTCCCCTCTTTCCGTAAACAAAGTTTCATGAAAAGATGAAAAGAACAGATACGAAAGACCGTTGCTACAGGGAAAGGGCCTGAATTCGTCTTCAATGCATCCTTTGTGAACTTTTTCCTCAAGAGCTGAATCAGTATCACGAGGTCAAAGAATCTTTAATATATATATATACATGTTCCGACCCTTGGATGCTTTTGTCCATTGTGGTTGACGTCGTATTCTCATAGCCAGTGTCCAACAGCATCCATAGCTTGCTTGATTGCTTATGTGAACCCTTGCCGCCTTTCATTGAAACGCAAGGCAGAAGAGCCTTAATCATCGCAATTTAGATTAAGCTGCTTCTCTTTCATGCATGAAAACGAGGCCTAAATGGCAAGTGACGCAAAATACTGCCATGTTCAGGGAAAACAGCACATTTCTTCTGATATATATAATAGTCTTGTGGGGTGAAAGCCTCACTGGACACTCATGATTCTTTTGGAATTGTGTATTTGCATTAACTCACTCATAGATTGAAGGATTCATTGTGCCCTTACTCACTGTGTGGTTGGAGAAGGACAGGAGGGAAATTCAAAGGAAGCGGTAAATGCATGCTTGCAGATTCTTGATTGAGGGAGGGAGCTATCCCCATGGGGGTTATTAGTAGACACTGTAATATAGATAATATTTTCTACTACCTCTGCAGCCACACCTCATGCTATTTTTAAGGACCATGAAATATTCAAAATTTGGAGGTATCACTTAGAAAGTTCAGTGTCCCTATAGTGATGCTATGACATTTCCTAAAACATCACTGTTCCTGGAAAATTGCTTTAGATTATTAGAAATTTTGAGTGGGATGTTATATGAATAAGCTAGACAATAAGTGATGGAATTCAAAAACAACCCATTCTGTCCAGAGAAAGTGCATATAAGAATTTCATAGCTTCATTTATTTTAATTAGTTTTACTGTTCATCAATATTCAAATGAGTACAGTAGCTATTCTTTAGCATTCACATGGACATTTAAATATTACATTTCATTATTTAAAATTTGAAAGTCCCAGCATCTTGATGACTAAATTTGGACTTTATGAAATTGGCCATACATGACAATGACATAATTATTCCTATACATTTTCAGTCTGAAGTCAAGGTGGGCACTGCAGCTAAAGGTGCAGTAAAATGCATTTCATCTCTTCAGGTTTGCCTGGGATTCAAAAGTTTACCAGTTTGGATCTGTTTTGTTTTGCTATGTAATGTGAAATTAAGATTCAGATTGCTGCTGCTTTCAGTTAGAGCTAAATGCTACTGAATAATTGAGTTTGTTTTAATTCAATTGTTGATTGAATTAGGAATTGGTACAGTTAATGAATTCCTTGAATTTGAATTCTTGGTTATTATGGTTTTTCAGGAAATACTTTGACTTCAATTATTATACATCAACTATTGGTTGGGATCATCTCCATACATTTTTTCTGCTTTGGGTTTATGAATTGTCAAGAAATGAAAACTTTTCTTCATCTCATATGAGCTCAAGACCAGTTTCAAAATAAAGATTAATGAAAAGTTATTTTTAATTTTCTGTTGCTGTCATACAACAGCATGTATGTTAATATAAATAGTTTTTTAATTTACCTGCAATTAATAACTCAGGATAACTATAATAGATAATTAAATAGCCATTTTGAGGAGTAATTGATAATGAATAATAATTGTTCCAAGAGTACTAGATTTGCCTAGCTCTCTTTCAACACTACAAACTCAGTTCAGCTCTGCTCTAGTTTGTTTAGTTCAGTAGAGTCCCTGTAATATCTTGAGTTTGTTCATCTAATATGTGCAACAGGCAGTATTCCAGTAGTAAGAAGTCTGAGGGTGAAAATAGGAAAACTGTAAAGTACTATTGATCAGTTTTAACCAATTGCTGTGAGAAATGTGAAAAAAAAGACAAACTATTGACCACTTTTGAAAATTTAGATTCAAGAGCCACACTTTTGAATTCCATTTAGTTTGCAGTTCTTACTTTCTCCAGTTGGCATCCAATTCATTGAACCAGGTATTTGGATTGTTGGCTGGATATAATTTTGTCCTGACAAGTGCTCCTCATTAAAAGTCAGTGTTTGCTGAATGGAATGCTGTTCTTATGACAGTGCAGAACAAGAAACAGTGAATTGTATTATTTTTGCCATATCATCATGATCAATCATTATGCCCTTGAGATCATTAGGAGCAATCAAAAGTTCCTGACCTGATATGAAAGAGAGTTTTAGGGCATTTTACCACACAGCTTAATCGGAGCATTCATGTCAGGTGCATACCTATCACTTTTATCACACATGTTTTTGTTTTCCAGATTTATTTCTTAATATGGGTGCATAATGAAAGTAAAAGAGGAAAAAACTTTCAATGAAAAAATACTCATGAAAAATATGCAAGGATGTGTCACAAAAATGTGCAGGCAATCTAAATCAAGTGTATTTGCTCATCAAACATTTTTCATTGCATGCACTTCAAATTTATCAATTCCATTTCCTTCAAACACCCAGGTCTGGAAGTGATCTCAAGAAAAAAGTGTCAGAAAGTGCAGTTTGTGCTTATTAACGTTATTAAACTGTTCATTGGTAGCATCATCCTGCCAAAAACTATTTCTTCTGCATCAGGTTGGGAATTTTTTAATTACCCCCCCCATGTATGTTGTTCTCATTAGTGGTTGAAGAAAACAACAACAGTAATTTTAAATTTGCTTTTCATTTAGTGTATCCCTCCACAACGTGATGAAATGTCTCAGTATATGACATGATTTCATTTGCCCCCAAAATTTAGCCCCTGCCATAATTGAGAGACTGCAATCCATCTGAGTACTGTAGGAGTAAGAATACAGTAAGATAACAAAGAGAGGAAAGGAGATCCTAAAGTCCCTCGTGGTATGTGTTTTCTTTTTTCTCTCTCTCTCCACTGCTGCATCATCATCAGTGGGGATGATGAGAGTGGGAGGCTGCTAACAGGGAGTACCACGACTGCTCAACCACCTCCCATTCCACCGTTACGACCACCTCCATTCCCCCAACACCAACACCAATCTGTCCCCACCCCTGATCCTTATGCCCTGACGGCAACTCAACTCCCATCCTCTCATGGACTCCTTACCCCTCACCAGATGGAGTACCACTCCCACCATCCAGTGGACCCCATTTGTCCCTCCTCTCCCTCTCCAACATACGTGTCTCTCTAACGATCGCTCGCTCTGTCTCTGTGTCATTCTCACTCTCTCATTCTCACTCTTGCTCACGCTCACCAGTGAGTTGACACATTTTCGCTGCCTCTGCCAGTCTGCTTGCTTGCTCACCAGACGAAGTTGCATGTGCTTCTTCATTCTCATTTCAATTATTTTTGGCATTTCTCCTTGTTTATAGCTGTATCCACTGTTGATGTGATTGATGAGTTATTGGGAAACAAATTGCTGATTTAGGGATTTAAAATGCAGCATTTAAATCGAAGGACAAGGCTATTTATAATATAACCCAGATTACTAGAAACAAGAAAATGTCCCTTTTAATGAATGTCCATTCTCAGTAATATCAATCAGCAGTAATAGCCTAGGATACGACCCGTGTTTTTCGAAGGTCCCAGTTTCTTCTGAAAAAAAAATTTACGTGCACGCTCATGTTTTGTTACGTCACCAAATAAATGTTCCTGCAAAAATTTTCTTGGTTTCCTTCATTTCTTTACTTTCAGTTGCAATGGCATGCCAAGTCTTCTTTGTGTTTGTATGATTTGGATTCTAGGGCCAATTCAGCTTAGTTTATGAAGTTATTGTGCATGAAGTGTCAGTGATCTATTGTTCCTGAGTTTTAAGTTCTTTTTTAGTTTTTTTTTTAGACCTCTTCGTAACCCTATCTTCCTTCTTTATTCGCAGGAGAAAGAAGAAGTGCATTCGGTACATGGAAGGATCGGACGGTTCGCTGGATAACCCAGGAAGCGTGGCATCCAGTATGGGAGACGCCAAGACTCCAGATTCGGAGAGTGTGTCCGGATCGGCCGGGTCCGGTTCGGGATCGGACCGGGATCCAATGTCTTTGTCGAGTCCGGCGCTATCTCTGGCCTCTCCTCCGTCCTTCCCTGGGTTCATGCTCCCGTCGCCATCCTTGAGCATCTCCTCACCACCCAGTGGGATGATACACAGCCCTGGGGGACCTGGACTCGGAAGGACACATCACCATCCCATCGGAGCGAATCCACACGACGTGAACAATCCCCTGTCTGTGGACCAACTCACAAAACCTCACACTCCCGGCGGGAACAAGCCTCCCTCCGTCTCCGTGTCCGTGGTCTCCGTCAATACTTGATGCAAACACCACGTGAACGCGAATGCAAAACACGAAGTGTTTGTTACTGCCTGTGATGATTACTCCTCCTCCTCAAGTGAACTTCTTTGAAAGTGACTCAATGGATTTCTCTTGTTTTGTTTTTTTTTCTCATTTTCTCTATCTAACGCTCAGTCAGTGCGCAATCACCAGCATACATTTTGTCTCTCAAGCATTTTCCTGTTTTATTATTTTTATGTTGTTCTCATGGACTTTTATGATGATCTCAGCTGTAGTGAGTAGAGGAGAGTCTCTACTCCTCATCCTCTCTTCCCTCCTCTAGACTTCTTCACTTTTCTTATTCTTCTTCATTTTCTTCCCTCTCCGTTATATCTTAATCTACCTCATGTTTGCATGGATGGTTTAGATATGCCACATTTCATCTGATAGCCTACTCAACCTTGTATTCACCTCTTTCTTGCTCAGTCTTGATTTGACTCAGGAAATCGGAGAGGAGGGAAGAGAGAGAGAGAGAGAAAGAGAGAGAAGGAGGATATCTCCTCATGAGAAGTGCTGTGAGCTTCTGCATTCTATGTTCAACCAACAAACATTGTGATTGATCGATTGAGTATCGGTTCCTTGATGGTGCAGAGAGAGGAGAACAAGTGCCAAGCTAACGGATGATGGAATATGAAGGGAAAAAGGCATGGGAAGGAAGGAAAAAAAAAAGATTTAAGTCATGTGCAATGTTTTTATCCTTATACACATATAATGTGCCATGTACAGGAGAAGAGAGAGAGGGAGGAGGAAGTTTGATGATGAGAGAGGTGAGGTGAGGTGAGATGAGTAGAGGAGAGAAGAGAAGAGAGAGGGTTCTGTGTCCACGATCTCTTTTCATTCTTTTCCTCAATATTTTTCGTTTGTCTGACCCTTGATGTATGTGGGCAAGCTTGTCTTGCCCTGATCTCTGTTTCATCCTCTACAGGTATATTCTCGTGATGGAGTTGAATGCATTTTTTGGTCATTTTCCCTGCTTTTACTTAAATACCCATGAAATCATAGAGTACTCCTTTGGCATGTGATATTATTGTTTTTTTTTTTGCTTTTTTTTTCTGAGATTCCTGCCAATGCCTTGAGTGGATGGACCCTCTCCAGCTCCCTCTCTCTCAGCAGTCTCTGTCTTGGTCTCTTGTGTTATTCAAAGAAAAAGAGGGCATATTTGTGTTTGTACAGATTCAGGGAAAATTTTTTGAGATGAAAAAATGCATTGTGTGAGAGAGAGGAGCCTCAGCTGATTACAATAAAAAGATTGAGAAAAAAAATTTGTGCATTAATTTCCTGTGGATGAATTATTATATGAGCGAGTCACTTATCGCCTCATTCCAATTGGGTGAGATACCTCTGGAAGTGGGGATAGAGACGGACGTTCCCCGTTTACATCATTCTTCATTAGCAGCATTGAACCTAGGTCTTGCCAAGCTTCTAATTATTTTCATCAGTGAAGTTGAGACATGCTGTCTTAGTGCATACTGGAATCTACATACAGACGTGCATATGAGGACGTGTAGATGTCAGCAGAAAAGGTTCGTCCTATTGGCATAATCGATGCTCGAGAGCTGGGAAGACGAAACGAAAGGAAGGCTGTGGAATCCCAGACGACGAGAGGGATAGGATGAAAAGGACTCTCGAAGCACATCCATGCTTCTTGGATTGTTTAGAGAGCGATGAGACCGAGATAGGGGTAGTGGAATATCCTCGGGGCAGAGCAGGACGTGCTTCGAATCACGGATACGCGACGAGAAGATGAAAAAAATATGTCAGGAAGGAAGGTGGAAGCACGGAGCGATACGAAAGGATAAACAGGGACCCCAACTAGGCGTGGAACTGGTTTCTCCTGTCTCTCGACCCGTGCGTGTGCGAGGGCGAACTTGTGACGGCGTGCGAGTGCGAGTGAGAATCGTCGCGGAAAGGAAAAGGAACCGTCCCTCGTCGAGATGCAGAAGTTGGACGTCCACAATCACATCCTCCCCGAGACTTGGCCGGACCTCACTAAGGTAGGTCCCACGCGGCCCGAACCGACCGGGAGGAGATCTCACGCCTTTCCTCGCGCAGAGGTACGGGTACGGGGGCTGGGTTCAATTGGAGCGCGCGGAAGGAGGGAAGGAGGCCGACATGAAGAGGGACGGCAAGTTCTTCCGACGGGTCCAGAGAAACTGCTGGGATCCGGAAGCGAGGATTTCGGACATGGATGCACACGGAGTCTCCGTTCAGGCCCTTTCCACCGTCCCCGTCATGTTCTCGTACTGGGTGAGACATTTCTTCGCACCGTTTCGGCAATAAAACGGAAAAAGACGAATCGGGCCCGAGTTCCACACGCAGACGGAGTCGAGCGGTGAAACCGAGGCAAAGAAGTCGATTGCAACAGGCACTGCCGTTTACTTCGCCTCGGTCCTTCGTCGTCGGGCTCGAGACGAAGTTCTCGCCGGCCGACCGCCGTCTCTCTCGCGTCCGATCTTCCGCGTTCCGGCGCGTCTCGTTCGTCACTCGCTCGGCGAATTTCACCGAATGGATTGCCGATCCTTAACTGCTAGAGAGCGGTTTAATTCGTCCCAAACGCTTCCAAAATAACGTCCGACGGCTTTACGGCTAGAATTTATCGTAGGAATCTCTCTCTGAAATCGTGATGACCAGCCGGGCACAGAGGTCGTGGGCCGACCATTGTGTTTACTCCTGACTCGACCCCTCGTCGGTGGCGTATTTTACAAGGTGCAGAGGCGGGTGGGGGGTGGGGCGTGGGGCGTGGGGCTACCCCCCTGGCAACGCTTCAAAGTGCCTAACGTTTCTCAAAGAATTTTTTTTCGCCCCTGAGAACCTTTCCCCCCCCCCCCCCCCTCCCCAACTCCTCCCCCTGGCTCCTGAGCCAAAATACGTCATTGCCCCTCGTCTTTCATCTCGTTCCTCGCAGCAATTTAATTAAAACTTAGAAAAAGGGTCGGGGATCAGCAAGACGGAACAAAACGAATTCTTTTCTCGCCACCTTATTAGTTTTTTTTTAATTTGTACGTCTTACTTCGCGAGAACGAGGTTAAGTGATGTCTGGACCCTCGATGAAGCGATCGTCGAGTCGATTTCTCTCCGTTCGACGAGAAGGGAAGGATTTAGGGGAATTTCGAGATGCGATCGCAAGAATTTGCAGCTGGAAGCAGCCAGACTCGGGGACGGATTAATCCTTTGAAAGAACCCTTGCAGATCGTAATGGGATCCCCACTTTCCGCGCCCTTCTTTCAACTCAAAGGGGGGGAGGGAAGGGGGGTGAATGGGGGGAAAGGGGGGAAAGGGGGGAAAGATTTGGAACCGATCGCGCGAGGAGACGAACTTCCCTCCTCGTCGATGCTACCGGGGTTAGGTCCTCCGTCACGGCTCGTCCACGCTTTTTTTTCTTCAAACGATCGCTCGATTTAATGGGACGTAAAGGACGGGAACGGGTGAGGCGATTCGTCTCCCGCTCCCCGACGAACTGCACGTCACCGCCCGCGCTGCCGAGGCGACTCTCGCGCGGGTTTTCTGCCGTTTCTCCTCGATGGACGGCGCGAATACCGCAGTTGCACTCGGTCTCGGTCTCGGTCTCGCTTCGATCGAACGCCGAGGGCGATCGCAAAGCATCACGAAGAGACCGTAACCTCGAGTCGAGAGTCGACGTCGACGAGCAGACCCTCACCGAGGTCCCGAAGGAACGGCTCAAAAACACCCAAAAAGATTGCCGATGCGCATTCGCCACCGATTCCGGTGGCGAATGCGTATCGGTCGGTGAAAAAAGGATCGTCGCGTTCGAGTCTTCGAAGACGGTCGGTCGACGCTCGGAGACGCGTGGGAAACGCCGAGCCGTAAGTCTCTCTGGGACTGCCATCCGACTCCTCGATCCCTTTCCCCGTGCCCGCACCGGGAAAGCCGTCGAGTGCAACGACGACAAAAAATGCCGTCGCTGATGCGAGGAGAGGACCGACGGCGCATCCTCTCTTGCGCTCGTAAAGGCTCGGTCTGCAACGGAGCAATTTTCGAAGCGAGCGGAGAGAGGAAGGAGGCAGGAGGTCCGTGAAGACCGGTCGAGACGAAACCTTCTCTCTCCCCCACCCACGCGTTTCCTTCTCTCGTCATCCCTTCCGTCTCCGACTCCATCCCTTCCGTCTCCGACTCCATCCCTTCCGGACCCGACTCCATCCCTTCCGTCATCGATTCTGTCTCCTAAGGATTTTTCTCTTTTCGTCGTGCTTGAGGCACTTTCCTGGTTTGCTTTCTTCTCGTTGCCGGCGAAGAGAGCGCGAGGGAACGAGCGGAAACGAATGGGAACGGAGTTCCCACGGGATTTCCCCGAGGCAGAAATTCAGCTCGATCGCAGTAGAAAAGTGAAAGTTTTTATCGGAAATGTATAATCACTCGTCACGGAATCGACACGGTACCGCCGACGGAAAATTAATTTGTTTTCCATTTCCGCGGATTTAGGTCCAGTTTCTCCCAGGAAACCTCTCGGATTCCGCTCTCGTTTCTTTCATTCGCAGGCGAACGAGTGCAGAGCTCTTTGCCGAATGCGATTAAAACGCTGGACCCAAATCGGAAAGAAAGCACGACGCTCTTTCGTTCGACGGACGAGAGCCCAACTCGAGTGCAAACACTTCGAAGGATATGGAACTTCTCCCAGGAGAAGTTCCACGAAACGGGAAGTGTGCCAGGTCCCGATTTCTTCTCGAGTGCTCTTCGATGCGCTCTGAACGTACTCGAAACGTGCTCGAAACGACGCCACTGGTAAAATCCGGTACTGATCCTGCCGAGGAACTCGAGCCCGTCTAGAACGAGAGCGATCGAACATTTTTCGCGGGAAAAAAAAAATTCCAGAAAGACGCGTCCCGAATGTTTGCAGAATTGTCGAGAATGTTTGCACTCGAATGGGACACTCGTGCACTTTGAATGGGGCACTCGTGCGCATTCGTCTCTTTCGTTTTCACATTTTTACATTTTCACAAATGGAAGAAATGAAAACGGAATCCGTGGAGCCCCTGGAACAAATTCAGTTCAAAATCAGTGAAAAAGGAGATTATATCCATTCTGTATTGTTATAATTATCGGGGGGAGGGAGGGGGGGGTGTTCTCATACTTCTACAGGTCGACCTTTTTATTTATTTATTTATTTTTTACTGCTTATAAGTTATTTTATTTTCTCATATTCATCTATTCATTCCTCTCCATGATCCCCATTTCTTCATCGTTTCTCTTTGTTTTCTTTTTCCATTATCATTTGGTTTTCGTGTATTTTGTTCGAGGAAGTACTGCCTCGGCCCGCGATTCAGGGATCCACCCGCTTCGGTGAAATGACGAGACCTCAGAAGATGAGGTCGAGATCCGCGCGTCCTATTTCCCATCGGGGTGAACGTTTACACTTTTTTTTTTTAGCATTTATCATCTCCGTTATCGCTCTGTACCCTCAGAAGAGAAGAGCCTTCCAACGGGGGGCTGCAAATATTTTCTTTTCTCTTTTAAGTGCCGATCGGTCGAAATCCTCTGCCGATCGACACGAGCCGCTCGGGGAGAAAATAGGCCGGAAAATAGAAAATGGGACGGGGAAAGAGAGGTCGGGAGCCACGACCTTCCCGGTCTGCACGACGACGTTCGCTCCGTGTCGACGAGCGGTCGACGACGTCGACGATCCGACGCACCGTCGACGTCGACTCCGCGTCGAAAACGAAATACGAACGTCGCAAGGAGATGGAATTCGCGTCGCACTCGCGTCCCCGACGAGGAGTCGACGTCCTGTCGATGCGACACGAACGGGCGAAGTCGGGCGAAGCCAGAGCCGAATCCTTGGAATTCCCGAGCCTCGAAGTCGGATGGCGGCGAATCCCCAACACGGCGAGCCGCTTCGTACCGGCACGAGTCTATCGTACGGAAATGTCCGTAAAGCCACTACCTACGGGCAACTTTTTATTTTCGTAGGCCGTTTATCGTTTGACCTCGGAACGATGTCACGTCTTTTGTTTCTACACTCTCATGTGACCGAGAATTCATTTACCAAACTCTCGTTTCGATCGCGAGTCGAAAGATGGAGTGCGGGATTCCGAATCGTCAGCCGGGGCAAATGCCCCCCACGATCTTCGGATTTTCACCCCTGGTGTTTTTTATTATTATTATCTGGGGCTACTTAAAAGGCATCGTTTATGAGGACAAGCCCACAGACCAGAAAAACTCGAAAGGGAACATCCAATTTCTCGAGTAAGCTCCTAATTTCTATGATTTTTAATTCCAAAACGCTCGGTCATTCGATCGATACCTCGATATTTTCAACAAGTCGTTGCAATAGTAACAACGGTAATAATATTATAATAATAGTAATAGTAATAGTAGCAGCGGTAACATTTTCCTCGATTCGTTTTCTGAATTTCTCCTCCATTCGACTGAATAAAAAAAATAATAATGAAACACCAGATGTGGGAAATTAATTCTCGACCGTACCAATGCGGAAGGAGAAAATATCCGACACCATTCTGAGGTCGGTACGTTGTCATTCTACAAAAGTTAAAAAAAAGGCTACTTGAGGGTCTATCATAAAGAAGTCTCCCAGAGGTACTTGATGGACACCCTGTACTTTTCGAACGGTACTCGATCGTTTCTCCTCAGACGACACCGAGGATTGGTCTTTTTTTTTTAATGCATTCGACTAATGAGTCGACCCAAAGAGACCCAGTGCGATTCCTTGGGAAAAATCTGGATTCGGATGTTGCGGGGGAGGCCGCCTTTAAACCGCCTTTTCGTCCACTGTAAATACCGTCTTGGTCTCTTGCTTCCGCAGCCCCGAGATGCCATTCTCTAATGTCCACGTTAAATCGTTGACCGTGACTCGATATTAACGGACCGAGATCGCGCCGATGCGACATATTCGCAGGGTATCGAGCACTCGACCGGAACGGAGCCAGAATTCGACGCGTCGACGACGTCGAGTCGATGCAGACTCGGCGTTCCGGCGTGGAATCGATCGATGCGACGTGAAAATTTTCAAAAATTTTGAAACGTTTACTCGATGTTGTTGCGCGGACTGGGGTTAGCCATCCACCGATTTCAAATCTGCAGTTCGGTTCGGTTTCCCGTTCGGATGCGATTACGGCGGGGATTTCTTCGTGAAAACGAATGGAACTCCAGGGAGACGAAAGCGTTTAGATCTTGCCTTCGATTCCCATCTACGATAAGAACGACGGTCTGGTTTCGAGTTCCGCTCTGCTCATCTAGACTGTTCTCGCGACGATATCCTAACTGCAACCGGAACCGAACGAGAATCGAAACCGAGCTGCCGTTTTGGAATCGGTGATTGCCGTAGCCACAGAAACGGATATCGCCGCGCAAAAGGATCCGATGTCGTGCCTATCGACGACCGAGCGACCGACCTTCGGCCTGCCCTACGATCGACATCACGTCCACGAAACGTCGCGAAACGCGGAACTCGCAAAAGAACGCGTAGACCCTCGTCTAATGATGCACTCGATCCGATCTTTCGATCTGCGACAGGCGAAGGGAGAGGACGCGTTGGATCTGAGTCGTCTGCTGAACGACGACCTGGCCGGGACGGTGAGAAAACATCCGGATCGATTCGTGGGATTGGGGACGATCCCCATGCAATCCCCTCAGATGGCAGTGGAAGAGTTGAAACGCATCCGGTACGACCTCCGCTTCCCCGGCGTCCAGATCGGATCCCACGTCGACCGATGGAATCTGGACGCTCCCGAGCTGCATCCCATCTACAAGGTATGGGTCGGCTCTCTCTATGCGCTTCGTAGGGCTCTCATCCGCGCAGGCCGAGAGAGTCGAACGTGGGGGAGTCGCCGTCTGCCTGCAAACCGTCCGTTTCGGTCGTCCGACTCTCCGCCCTCGTTTAATGGATACGTCTCGATGGAACCCGAGATCGTGATGGTAACCGTGATATGATGTAACAGATCAGACAGTGTAGATGGAGATAATACGGCCCAGAGCTGAAGAGAGCGGGAGAAAACTTGCTCCTGCAGAATGGGGAGACACAGACCTGCTTGGCTCGTCTTTCGTCCTATTCTCTTTCTTTTTTTTTCTCGAGGATGTTGGAATCGGTGTCATCAGTTAGTAGCGTGAATATTTTGCACGGTAAATCGTGTCCATTGTGCACTGTCGACGGGTGGGCAACGGTTCTTGCTCGCCTTTTCGATGCGTGCACGAGATGGGTCATCTCGTCTGTATTTTTTTTATTACTATAATTTAAAGATATACGAAGCGCTCGTCGATTCGTGAGTGGTTCTATTCTCGTTCTGCGAGCCGTCGGCTCGTTCATCGCTCTTCCAACCCTCGAATGAAGGTGGCCGAGGACTCTCGGGGCGTGGGAGAAGCTGCACGTTCCGTCGGTACGGCCGCATTCCTCCGAGCCCTGCAGCCCTGCAGTCGTGCACGATGGACCTCGACCCAATCCTCGAACGCCCGTGATGGAGGTTGGAGGTGGCGATGGGGGAGAGCCGAGGAAAGCTCACTCCCTTAGAGTTTCCTGGAGAAGGAAACTAGTTTCTACTCCCGGGGGCTCTACACTGTTAGAGTCTGCACCCCCCATCTCCACCCGCCTATAGCTCGAGGGCCTGCTTTCGAAGGGTCGGACGAGTGGCGAACGGTCCGGGTCTTCCGATCGCTCCTTCGACACGGGGTCGGGAGAAGACGTCGGTACGAGCGAAACCATCCGAGGGGGTCACGCGATCTCGTCGGGAACAAGCAGCAGGAATTCGGAGGGGCGAGAGATGGCAGCACCGAGCACCACGGACCCCTCCTGCAGCAGTCCTCGTAGAGTTTGCAGTTGGAAAACGGCGCTACCGGCCGTGCAACCCGAGAGACATCTGTTTCTCGCCCCATCGAACCTTATCATATTAAGGATTCCATCCGTATCTGCGAGACGGAACGAGCAGGGGACGACGGTCGTCGAACGAAGTTCGTGCGCCGCAGTGAAGATAACATCGCCATTTTATCGATGCAACCGAAAAATCGATCGTGAATCCCTGGGATGCATTTTGCTAATTCCAACCTTCCAATTTTTATCATCCATCGTAGGACGCATCTATGATTTTAAGAAGTGAGATGGTTGAGATGGGGGTGATCATCTCAAAATCGAATCGAGAAGCTTGAAATTCGAAATTGTAATTTTCTCTTATTCTTCTTTCGATAGAAAAAGCATTGGCTTTTATGAAAGCTCTCTGTCCTGAAAGAAAGCCGCAAATGAAAGACGGTCTAGTTTGTTTTTTTTTTCTTAGTGGACTCAGCGCGCTGCGGAAAGTTGACAAGAATCAAGCCGTCGCCCTAAATGTATAAATGCAAGAAAGTCGAAGAGGAGAAAGTCAAAAATGCTATTTCTCGATCGCATCGTTCAGATCACGATCGGCTGCATCTTTTCCCCTCCGAATCGAAACGAAAGATCGTGAAGTTCTTCGCAGGCGAA